AAATACTTGTCTGCGATGACGCACGCACACTTCCTTTATTCCTTGTACAGTTTTTTTTTCTAAAACCACGGTCGCTGACTCCACGTGCGCAGCTGCGTAGGTTTCTCGATATGAGGTTGTAGTGCTCGACCTCGACTCATCCTGTTCCGCCCGTCATTGTCCATTTCTTCTGACGTCTTCGCCGAGACGACCTCTACATAAGGCTCGCCGACTCTCCCCAGTCCTCACCTACCAGAGCGGAGACACACCAGCAGGCAGAATGTGGCGGTTTGGGATGGTCCTGTCCGTGGTGCTGATCCTGGTGGTGGTGGCGGCCACCGTCGGACATTCTGCCGGCTGCTACATCAGCAACTGCCCCCGGGGCGGCAAGAGAGCTCTGGAGTCCAGGAGCGGGCATGATGCGAGGGAGGTGAGATTGTTTCGGTTGTTTGCTGGTGTTGTTTGCACGTTTGAAATGATTTGTGGACGGGTTGTTTATCATAACTCCACTAGACGGCGGTCGCTGATCGACCAAAATGAAATTTGTGAAACATTTCATTTTATACATTGTATTTGAAGCATGGTGATGTAAGAGTTCGATGTATAAGAAACAAAACTAACAAAACGTTAGGGGATGTGGTGTGTAAGGGGTGCGTAGAACATGAGCACCCCAGGCCATCTACATGGGGAGGAATAGCAATAGCAATTGTTTATCTTTAAGAAAGAAAGAATGAAATCACAGGTCGTTTGTTAAGCTAAGTCACCGTGATGGTTTTTGTAGCACTTGCTGTGCGTTTATGTTATAAGATACAGAAGCGCGACCGCATTGTAACGGGAAGAACGTCTTTATTAACCTGAGATATAGAGGGAAAACATAACTCAATACGTCGGATGGATGCTAGATGTGTGTAAGATGGTAGAAAGGAAAGGACGACTTTGGCTGGTGTGTGACACTGGTCCACCGGGTGGCGTGGGCATATATTGCAGAACGTGCCCGTTTCACTTCTAAAGGTATATCTCACCTACCGCTTACCCTTGTGATATATACATTAAGTATAATTTAGCTAACTGCTTTAATTCTAAATTCGAATGCAGAAATCGAATATTGAAATGTATAATGCGGGCTTGCGTCTGCATTAGATAATACTGGAGAGTAAAGTGTATGCAAAGATGGGGATTTGGATTACCAAACTTGACCTAGAAAATGCCATCATTCGATGCCCTACTTTCGGGAAAGTTGTTTGATGAAACATAAATTAATCATACTGAATGCATGAACTGGTATCCGAAATTGCGTGTTTAATAACGGCATCAGCACCCATGCATGCGACAGGCCTGTTTCTATATGACACTACCGATGATTAAAGAACCGCCATGCCTGCTCCCTTCAGACGGCTGAGACACGTACCGCTGACAGCAGTACAACGGGGTGAAACTTGTAACCGGCCAACTGTAGAATACAGAGACATCTGCGCTCAACTGGGCTGTCCGTCAAATGTCAGGGATAGAAATTAAATTTGGTGTTGTGTAGTTTGAAATTATGTAACCTCCCCTTGACTTAAACTAAATGGTGATAACAATTATGGAGGAGAGAGTACTTTAGAAAGAAATAGATAGGGACGACCGCGTGCCTCGCCTTGAGAAAGTAGTGTTCATCAGCTTCAATTCAATCAGGAAATGCGTGGATATATGAACGCGAACGTGAAGTATACCTTTATCATTTCATGCTAATGACATCTAGCTCTTCGATAATGACCCAATTATGGTTGGGGATGAGAGAAGAAGCCTACAGCGGAATTACGCAAGTAATAGTTGTCGCCGCCCGCATCCTTATTACGTGGGAAGCAAAACTGTTTCATTGAAATACGAATCCCTTTTAGTAACTCATCTTTGATGTATTCACAAGAAAACTTTCCTTTGCCAACTGCCGACTTTGGTAATGCGCTAATTAGAGGTTTGCGTCCCCAGCACCAACCGGACGCTTTGTCAACGTTTTACTGAAACATGAAGCCCTTTTTGAACACAATCCTGGCATGTTGCCCCTGCCCCTGTAGTGGAGACTTATTACAACCTCCGTTGTCGCATGGGACTCAGAGCACCAATTAGCAAATCACTATCGTACATGTGACGCCTACAAAACTCTACCCGTCCATCGTTCCTTTTTTGTTTGTTGTTGTGTCTAAATCGTCTTGTATAATGTTATATAATTTGAACATTTTGTAGTAACGCTGATGATATTTTAACTTTAACTACGCACTGTCAATGTACTGTGTAAAATCAACGCAATTCAGTTTCAATGATTGCAAATCAGATTGCATAATAAAGTTTGAAAGTTTGCAAATGAGCAATATCATGTTCACCAAAGCCCTTGTCGACTGAGAAAACTTGCCGTAAGTTATGCTGTAACAATACGCTGACGTACCCCAGGTGACACCAGAAAACTACGTCAAAAGAATCGACGCTAACAAAAATGAAAGACCATTCAGCTTTAACCGCTCAGTTGCATCTGCGACAGTAGTTTACGAGAAGTGCAGACGTTTTGGCGCAAAACTTTAATATCTGAAAATATCAAACATCGCCTGTGTGAGCCGTGTTCTGATGTGACTGACAGGTGAATACCCTGGAGTGGGAGGTTAGATTCCCTTATATAAGCCCCGCATACAAACCTGCACGTAAGACAAGAAAGGTCGCGGGGTGAGCTATCTGAAGTCGATCCATTATTGTTCTTCGCCGTTACATCTGACAACATGATGACTGTTCGGACTCTCGAGAATTTTAACTCCACGGCAGCGGAAAAGTACTCTAACAGCCTCCTACGTACAAATCAATGTTCATAACGCTGGCATGGGCAGGAGCAACAGCTTTTTTCTTGTCGCTCATGCATGTATCATATTCCAAAGGCAATACCAAATCATCATGAAGATAATGTCGCTCTTATACTGCTTTCGAGAATATTTTGTAGTCATACTTTTTTGGATAAATTAGTCTTGTAGTATTGCTGTTTAATACTGTTGTCATACCTTATGTCATGCGCGATTGTTGAGCAACTGAGTTCATTCATTCTATTCTACTGTTGAATTTTGTATTCACCATCCGAGAACTGATGATTGATAGTTGGTAAAATTTGTGAAAATTACCTCTCAATGAAGCGATTCTTTCTACAACTCAAATCTGTAGTTTTATTTGTAATTCATGTTTTGGCTTTGTTCCAGGGCAATAAAATCCAACATAGAGGAAATACAGTGGCTCACACTCGCATGTTAATTAAGAAGATGTCACATACATTCTACGATGCACCCACGATGGAGTTCGTACGTCGTAGATATGAGTAGAAAGGGGGTACAATTACTTTACAAATCAAACGATAGTATTTTGAACTATTTATTGCACCTGTTCCTTCTCAATCATTCGACGTACGGCGATTTCGGAGGTGCATCTTACGATGTATGTGACCGGGGCTTTAGCGTTGTTCTTTTCCCCCTTTTTACGGTTCTCGCAGTGCCCTCGTTGCGGGCCGTCGCTGTCGGGCCGGTGTATCGGGCCCACCACGTGCTGCAGCCCGCTGGCCGGCTGTACCCGCAGCCTGAGCGTGGCTCTGGAGTGCTCCATGGAGAACCTGGTGCCCGTGCCGTGCAGACCGGACGGCCCGTCCTGCACCCTGCCCGGCCAGCAGACAGGCACCTGCGTAGGAGAAGGGATGTGCTGCATGGACGGAGGTACGAGTAGTACACATAGTAGACTAGAGGTCCGCCGGTCACAAACGTCATGCATCCGTCGTGTTTCCTGGAAATTCAGCTATCTTGTTATTACGAAAAACGCTACCTTAGATCCTTGTCGGCGGTTAACTTGATTCTGTTACAGCCTGGTTGAAAACTGCAACACACGACGACCTATGACGAATGTGACCGAACTGTCAATATTCTACATGTGCCAAATACAAATGTCTATATCACTATTCAAGATAGATAATTTGTTGATATCGTAGTATGATACACGTGGTTCCAGGCTGTTCTTAGTCCAAGAATCCTCTTGTTGGACATGCCCTTGACCTAATCAGTATAACAAAATAAGTCGATTTATGATGTACAAGCGGCATCTTTTCTCTTCTTCTCCTCAGAAAAATGCAGTCTGTCTCCAGAATGCTCCGCGAGGAACGCTGAAGACGAAGAAGCAAGAAGGCAAGACCGGCGGTCGGTGCTGCCCCACTGGGTTCTGTCCGGGAACACCCCTCCGGACGTGCAGAAATGGTGGTGACGGACCGCCTTTCGTGCGCCCACATCTACTCAGAACCGCAGGGTTATTCCATTCAGAGGGGTGAAATGGAAAGGCTCAGTGTATTCTACTTTTTCACGTGACGTCAGAATCGAGATCGACCCGGAAGTCCGCCATGTTGGATGATAAGCTATTTTATATTACCAGGTTATCATCCAACATGGCGCCGATGCGTGACGTAGCGATTTTCGAACGTTCGGTGAAAAAGAAGAATTCTAAGCCTTAGTAGTTATGGTAACTCTGAAACAAAGGGCAAGATGAAATGTTGTATGCGGAGGAACAAAAGTAAAATGATTAGAGTTGATAATTTAGAAATAGGGAATGGAATGAGTCTACGAAAAAGTGAAGTCGGATGGAAAGATTAATTTTCCGAGCACCCCTTCTAGACATTCGTGAATGGAATGATCCTTCCGTTCTAGCCACATTGCGAATGGTGGACTACCGTAGTGTTTCGTGGACCAATAGACACAGAAAATCAAATCGCACAATGAAGGTTTTAGCGGAACAACCTCAAATGTGTACCTGTGGTACAACATGGCGGATCATGTGTGGCTTTTTATTGGCCATAGTCATTCTTGTAGCCTTCTTCGTTCACATTTACAGAGATGAACAGGTGTTTTAAACGCAGTAGAGCAACCGGTCCAGCTTCTTTATTCATATAGATTGACCAATGATAGAAACTGAAAAAAAAAGAAGAAAAACGGTCGGTGGTCCAAAGGAGTCGCCCACGAGGCGTTGCCGGAACATTGATACGTCACAGCAGTTTAAAAGACAACTGATTTCTCCGGTGAGTGCAGCATATATTGTAATATTGGCTCTGTACAGGATCAGTTCATAAAGGCAAACTCCGAAGCTATAAACCACCGGAAGAAACTGCTTCTTTCTGGACTAAATAAAGGACATTGGAGAGAAACTGGTTGTCTATTTCTATGTCGCAATTTCTGTGGATCACAGGGCATGGGTAACAAACACAGAGCCTTTATTTATATGTTTATTTTTCTTTATTTGGGAAGTTTATATCATATATCATACTCTAGATACCCGACTTACTAGTACGACATTTAGCCCCCACAGGGGGCAATGAGCTTCATCGTCATCGTCATTGTCCTTTACCTGGCTGCCCTGCTGTGGACGTTAAGCCCCGGTCACACTCAGCGCACAATGCACCTACGATGGAGGGGTTTCCCCACCGATCGTGCCGGTTTGAAAACAACTGGCGCAATAGTCCCAAAATTAAACTATTGCATCTGTTCGGTCTCATATCTACGGCACGATCATCGCGGAACACCCTCCGCCGTCGGTGCACCGTGCGGTGTATGTGTGGCCGGGACTTTACTGGCAGGCCGGGTAGGATGAAGACATTATCTCGGTGGAAGGAAATTGACGGGAACGGATCGTGACGTCCGTTAAGAATCACGTCTTATCATAGCCGTGGACGACTCGGGTAATCCTTTTTGTATGATCCTGCTGTATCATCATACAAAAAGGATCACCCGAGTCGTCCAAGGCTTGTCTTGTAAGACGACCTGGTAGGTTGAGCCGTTTTTGATTCATGACTTAAGCCTGTTGCACGTATTACAGGCACGGCTTGTGACAAGTCTTGAGCCGAGAAAAATTGCTAGTTACAACCTCACTTCACTCTTGACATTATATTGTATGATATGATAGCCAAGGCGTTTTGACTTGATTGGTTTGCGACCCTGCCCAAGACGGGTCACAAGTCCTGTCCTAAAAATGTCAGACATGACTCAAGAAATTATTAAAGTTAAGACGTGAATCTTAATTTGATTGCGACCTGCGGAGAAGGTTTCATCACGGCATATCGTGGCAGTGGAATCTGTATGATTGCGGGTCAGTATCCTGGGGATCAAGACAAGTCATAAATCTCCGCATTCTTGTATAGCCCACTGTTAAACTATCAGTATGTCAACATTGAAGCATAACAACGCTTTCAACCATTTTGTAACAACGGTTTTGTAACCTACATAAGACCCATAGTCAAGTCACAGGCTTACCATCCGTAAGTGTCTATGACTTTTTGGGTTTTGTCTTCTTCTTCTTCTTCGCCGGTGGTTTGACACATGGTTTGGTGACTAGTTTAATGATTCCCTGCGAGTAGAGCTCCGCTAGTTTGAAGAACTCCCGGTCCATGCGGTGCCAGGGGTTGGTCATGCCGGCGTCCACGGTGGTGGCCTGCGCCGGGACGTGGTACCGCAGCCGCCGCCCGGCACGGTCTTTGTCGAACGGCCAGAAGCCGTAAACCACCACCTCGTCACAGAAGGACAGAGCAGCGTTGATCACATAGAACCCTGAACAACGAGAATGAGAGTTTTACATTGTCGTGTCTACTACAGGAGACACAATATTTTACAACGCTAAAAAATAATCTTTTGTGTAAAACAGAAATTGTATATTTAGAAACTGTAGGGATGGCTGACTCACACGTCACAAACTACACACACACTTTGTGGTTCATCAAAAAACGTTACATTTTAAGATGGTAAATACATATCTTAGCGGTGGCCTGAAAGCCATCCTAGTTGAAAAGTAAATGGGCAATTATTCCGCCATTAAACGTCACACCCACGCTTCAAACCAAACCAGAAGAAGAAAACAACCTTCGCTACATCACTTCTGTCTCCATTAATACCAGAAGAAGGGCTCATCTGCAGCTGTACGAGCTTCAGTCGACATAATGGTCTGTAACCGTCACCCCGCCCACGTGCTTTTACCACGTGTCAATCATGCTTCGTTGTTATATAGCAAACAGGAATTGTTTGGGAAATTGAACTAAACAGTAAGTGCGCATTTCCCGTGACTCACACCTGTCTCTTAAACATGTTGCCTAGGAGAGCAAAATACTCGTATCTTCTTAACAATCTGTCAAGATGAAACAAAAATAGCCTTAAATCTGCGCAGATGGCTGTTTAAGTTCATTACGTTCTTATTGCTCTTGAATACAGAATGAATTGACAATAGTCGACAGAAAACGCTGGTTAACTTCCATTAATGTAACAATTAGATCAATTTTCCAAGACGTTCTGAAGGCGGCGAATAATGATAACTGTACTGCTATCTTGTTCCATGGTGTCATGTTTAAATATTGTGTAAAAAGCTATAGCTTGTGCATCAAATGCTGTCTGAAGAACGGGTCGTTAACCTCAATGCAAGCATCTTGCGTAAAATAAAATGTAGAAAAAACTGCACCTGACGTAACACTGACCAAGGACTTTATATAATGTCCTTTTATTGATTTAGATCCAAGGAGCAGGTTTATTGACATGAAGTGCGCCCAGTGGTATCCATGAAACGCCTACCAAACAACCTCGGTCGTATTTGCTCAGTTTGTGTTGATCACATTATCACATTAAACGGTTCTCGATCGAGAGAACATCTAATGCTGGAAAAATTTAATTTAATACTCTCAGGCATTATTTTTTAAATATTATATAAAATCCATTACTATTCATAAACATGAAAACTCAAACGTATAAAGACATATAGACCCACCTGAACTTAAACTCCTAGTTTGAAGTCCCCGTGATTTCCAAAAGTCGTACATAAGGTGTCGGTGCCGCGGATTGTTAAAAACAACCTAGGGAAGAGAAACAAGTGTGGACTCTTGCAACTTTTATGAAAAGAAGTAGCAATTGGATAACTGACAACGAATTATTTCATTTTCTGCACACCTTACGTGTATCATTTTACTTTTACAGTAGAGTAGTCTATATATGCATTTTAATTGACATCTGGGATACGCAACATTCAGGCAAACTATCGGATTGATGGTGATGATGATGATGAGACTAGGCCTGGTAGTGGTACAGAGGTTTTAAGAAAAAATGGGTAGCGAGAGAAAGGTTTCAATTTTGAAGTATTGATATCATTCATTTGGACTTTTTTTAGCTTGAAAGTTTAGAAGTCATTCTGAATCAAGCCTTGAATTGTACTAGCTAAGAAAGATCATCAGGATGTATCCAAATTTCTGACTGACCAACTGTAGTCTGTCTGTGATTCACTACTCACCTAGTCACGTGTTCTACGTGACGTCACAGCAATGGTGGATTGCTAAGTCGAAGACTAGACTTGGTTAGTCGAAAATTCGGGTAAGTCCTTGAGTGTGTTGGAAATCAAAGTTCAACGTTATTCAGAAGGCACAAGAGGGTGCCTTGCCTTGTTGCTGATTTTCTGCGCTCTGATAACTTGTTGCATCTTGACGACTCTGGACTGATGCCCGCCGGGGACCATGAACGGGAAGGCCAGTAACGTGCTCTTCCCGAACTTCCCCACGCGGAAGATCATCTGATATTTCTGTAACCAGTTCCTGGAAAGGCTGTGCATCTTTCTGAAACTGAAGCAGGAGTAACGTCGTCAAAGTTAGAAGATCATCTCTTCCAGATGCAGCAGAACAAAACATACAGATGTAGCCAAACTTGCTAATCTTTGTCTTCGAAATTTGCTTCGTGATTTCCGACCCGACCCCTGTGACTGTGTCAGTGGAAGCCATTGAGAAAATGCGTGTTATCTACATTGTCCTTAACACGTCGATGAAGACATCTAGGTAGAACATTTGGTAATACATGACTCAATGCAAGCAACCTGAAGAGTCAGACGTTTCAGATAGCTAGCGCCCGTCCATTGGCATTCCCAGTCAAAGATATAACAGATAACAGATGCTATCCGAAATGTCTGACTACTTTAGAGAATTTATCCAGTTGATTTTGTGCTTATTTTATTTATGTTGTTCTTACTTCCTGTCGATGATCCCGGCGTTACAGGCCAGCATGTGGGTTCTGATGCCGATATCCTTCACATACGGCCGACTCACATGCGGGAAGTTAAACCTGCAAAATTAATATTCAGTATCTATATATCATTACAAACTTAAAACTTACAGACGCAGGGGGAAACACTAGTGTGCCTCAACCTGAAGTAGGTATGGTTTGTTAACAATTCTATACAGATAATATAAATTGCTGCAATGTTCAATGCGATTAGGAAAAAGGAATAGCGATTCTGATGGTTAGAAAAAAATACAAAGGTAGGAAAGAATATGTTCGTGTCAGAAAATAACCGAGATGGGAAAATACTAAGCGTATATACGTATATACAATAGTACTAGTCTACGCGTGCTTCAAAAGCACGCTACAAATAGAACTTCATTTATATGACTACAGTTAACGACTAGTGAAAAGTAACACACATGAAGACATGTCACCCTGTCCGTGGTGCTGAAATGCAATCAGAGCCTCTGTGGAAACTTTGGGGCTGTCTGAGTGACGTTTTGCCAGTTCTGTGGCTCAGGGCTATTTTTCGGTAACCTTTGTCTGTCAAATTATTCCACGTTATGTCGACTTTATGTTTTTTTTATCCCAGTTATGTATTTGATAAAAAAAAGGAAACATTAACTCGCCTTATAACAAAATCCGACTTGTCAATTTCTTTTCCACATCCACTCCCCTTTAAAATTCCGCCATTTCCAACGATGCTGCATCTCATGTGGTACTCTTCGTCAAATGGCACATCCTGAGTGGTCAAAAGACGCACAAATCAAAAGGTTTGCCTACTAAGAGGGCCCCTTTGCACTAGAGGGCGATCGCTGGGGGCCGTACGTACTGCGACCAAATGAATTTGTGTGAGCCTTGATTTATTAAAATTTGAATAGCGTACAAAACGTAAAGGGGGCACTTAAAAGATAATAAAACACAACTTTCGGTCCTAATAAAAATGTATATGGAATTCGTTGAGCGATCTGCCATAGTAGCTATGTAGTCGCTGTCTCTAGAATCGGAGATTAGATGAATGTAGCTGTTTGTATGCTGTGAAATGTTTACAATCAATATTGCGAAATATTACAAGGGTTAACAGGGCGGCATAACATTTCGGGAAACCATTTGTTGATTGATGATGTCCGGGTTCACCGTGCCTTCGACTGAATCACTCCGGTGGGGAAGATATGAAGACAAAGCATGGATCCACGCCCTTCACGTCAACACGTGTCTGCTCTCAGGCTGGCCAGAGGGTTAGCTAACTCTCCACATGACGCAGGCAGACGTCAGAACTGGCTTTTTGGTTCCTTTACTCTCTATACACGTTTATGTACATTTTTGGAGAAGTGAAAATTTTATTATTTTTTAAAACTAAGTTAACCTCCTTGATTTGACCAATCAAAGCTCAGTTCATCAGTCTATAACTAAGAGCACATGTCGGTAGGAGCTCTTCAACTAAATTTATTTACGCCAGTAAACGTGAATCGTCTGTAAATACCTGTAATAAAGTTTACATAATTTGCATATTATTTTTTATCTTATGTCACAAAAGACTAGCTACTTATAGATGTATGATAGCTGATAGACTAGATAAAATATCCCCGTATCCCTCCATGTACCTGTGGCTGGTTTCTCCAGATTTGTTCCGATATGTAGAAGCTTTCGTTTGGAGCCTTGGCATATTTAATCCTGGATTTCGGCGGCGTGTTTCGCCTCGTGAGCACCATCAGCTGTCTCGTCTGGGTTTTCTCCTCCAACTGTCGTCTGCGATGACGTCAATGTAGGAAATAGAGAACAGAAAAGAGAACGGATTTTTCTAGAGTATTTGCGCTAACAACGGCGCGGTCACATTCGTGATCGTCGTAGGCCCTCGTACGATTTTCATGTCGTAAATATTGCAGTATAAACAGTCTGTTACCGCTTGCAAGGTTGAAGCATCTGAGCCTTTTCCGTAACAAGTCAGAAAAATGTTGTACGACACATCCAGGACTATCCCAAGAATACCTTATATAGCTTAGGTTTGCAATCGTGCGACGATCATACGACGAATGTATTTGGACTTTAACACTGAAAATAAACTTGAGAATAGCCACACAAATAAAACCTATGCCAAACACAACCTAGGTCGTCTGAAAAGTGTGTACCTGAAGTCTGCAGTTCGCTTTTTGTTGAATCGCCACGATTTGGACTCCAGGGTGGTGAAGAAATTGAGAAGGTCCTTTGGTGTCTCCACGACAGTGCTGTTGGTCTGGAATACACTGCCATTCCGAAAGATGGCGCGGGGACTAGCGATGGTCTCCTTGGGAGTTTTAACTGCTTTGGGACTGTCGCAATCATCACGTTAATTATATATAATCCACATTTAAATAGCTGGCTTCATCTGACCATTTTGTCCCCAACCCAGCACTTCCAAAGCATCTCAGAAAATCATCTGTTGAAGGTTATGAGACATAACCCGATGGGCGAGATGTAGTTAAGTACTTGGAGTGCGCGTTATAATGTTATCAGCCAATTGCAAAGTTCACCTTTACAAAGAAAAGTTAGGTTGACTGTACGTATTCATACTTCGGGTAAACAGATGACAGAGAATCATCCCTAGCGTTACAGTAAATGTACGTGTCAAACTCCTGCTCATGTGAAACCCAATCTCCGCTCACTCACTTTAGAACCCAAACATACAAACCTACCATAAATTAGCGCCACTCAAAACAATACTACCGTACTGGAAGTAACAAACAAACAAACAAACAAACATTAAAAAATCATAAACCTGTGATATTTGGGAAGGACGCACGAAGTGATGTTCTCAACTGTCATGAGAGTGACGGTCTCCCCTCCCTGCTGCCTCGGCGTGCGGTAGGACCGCGCCCCATCCTGCCAGAACTGCGTCACCAGCAGCGGTACACACACCAGGTACACCGACAACAGCAGGCACTCGTTCCGCCTCAGCCGGACAGGCAACATCACTGAATAACATTGTACACAACAACAACAACAACAACAGAACGATCACTGCACTGCATCCCTGGACAACACAACAACAGCACAATCACTGAACAACATCAAAACAACAACAACAACAACAACACGACAACAACATTCGAATTCCTGAAGCAGAGAAGTTCAGCACGTAACACGTGACACGTAGCAGCATCCCTGAACAATAATTCCATGGTAACAGCATCTCTAAACAACATCAGCACGGATTAACATGCAAAATGATATCTGAACATCAACAGCACAGAATTAAACATACAATAATAATCTAGAACAACAACACAGTCAATAGCACGCATACGATAACATGCAACTGATCCTGACTGCAGGCCACAATTTAGCAGTTCAAGCAGTAAGTAATGGCGATTAAAATAAAATAATGGCAATTAGACTTAGAGTTTTGACCAAAGGAAGAGTGACGATAAAATCAACCCTGAACTTTAACCTCCTTGCCCTGAACAACAACTGAGCACAATGATGGTTAGTACCGCAATATAACGATAACAAACGTGTTTTTAACGTGATAGGTTACGTGCATTACTTTTGTAAGAGCTGAAATGACTCACCCCGTAACTCTTCCCGTTGGTTCACTCACGCCAGACAGTAGATAAGGTGACCTATTGTGATACCTGGGGCTGATTTGCATATGTGGCTTTGATTGGCATAACAACAGTATATCGGTAAATTCTTTAGGTGTTTTAAAGGTGGGCTGCCGGTATTTGCATGTTCATCTTTTCAGATGCCATTCCATCACATCGTACAACACTCTAATCGATTATTGCCTTCACCGATATTATGTTTTCGGGGCATGTGTGTTTGTGTATGTGTGTGAGTGTACGTGTATGTGCGTGTGTGTGACCAGCATAACTTGATTTGTGGCTGCATCTTATGTTGTCAGCTGTCGGAAAAACGATTAGATTAGATTAGATTATGGGTCACGTGGCGGCTTTCTAAGGTGCTGCAGCAAGAATTCCGGTTATCATATCTCGAGTTCTGGACATGCTGCTCATATGTAGTAATGCTCTTTTCTTGGTAGGTAGTAATTGGGCTTGTTAAGGGTTATGCCCCCTGGCAGCTTTTTCTGCGCCAACAGAAGGCATGGGCCATGTCTGGACAGTGGCACTATCTGGGAACCCTCAACCTCTAATAGCATGCAGACAACGGCATTTTAGAAATAATTCTGTCCAAACTGTTTTATTTTCCTTCTAACAACTGCTTGATGTAACTAACAGAGAGTCCTTAAAGACCCCGAACCATATACAGTTTTCATCTTTAAGAGATTTTGTTACCTTAAATGACACCACCACTTAGTACAGAAAAGTTCAAAGGTAAACTGAAAACAAAGTTTGCTTTTTTTTTACAAATACTTGTACATTCTGTTAGTTCATAGATCAATAAGCTATATAACTTATACTTACATTTGACATATACACAAGTCATGCAACCCAGGAAGTTGATGTAAAAATAAATATTCATATGTACTGTACAAGACACTTTTATACACAATCATACAAAGTAAAACTACTTGCAATTTCATACTATTATTTCTATGCTGATAGAATTTCTGATGCTCATACTTGGTATGAATAATCATATTAATATCTGTCACTTTGACAGATACTGTCTTGACCATGTCTTGAGTACACAGACTATTATAATTGCTGATTTCAGAATTACTTTCGGGCCACCTTAAGTACATATGGGCTTCCTGGCCCACAAAAATACTGTGTATAAATGGACTACTGCTAATCATACATGTACACATATGTTTGGCAATCATAAACAGCAAATAGCTGCAATGTAATTGATTACACTTAAGTTTTCACTGTACAAATATTTCTTTGCAGGAATAAAGTATGTAGAAGTGTGAGGTTTAAGTAAAATATGGCACAGAACTGTGCGATATTCACTCATGTAATGCTGTACTTTCTTATCACATGATCCCCATGTGGTCAGTCTTGTACAGCAAAACTCTTACCAGCTTTAGAGGTGGATAATCTAATATGCAAATAGTTTAAAGGTTTATAGCATGTCATCATGTCTTGTTGGCAGTTTTTAGATGAAATCTTCGGAGCCCTGGTGATGTAATTTTTCCCCATTTTCACACCACCCCCTCCCCCTCTGGGACCCCTGCATGGGTTGGAGTTCTCCACTGCAGACTGAAGTTCTGCTCTAACAATAGCTATGCAATGGACACATTGATGAAGGTTAGGAATCCAGGTACTAGAACATTACTTGCTATGAAACTTCATGAATGCTCTAAAGAGTCAGACATTTCTGATATCATCCACTACCATTCATCAGTTACTCAGAATGATTCTGACAAGTGTAACTGGTGCAATGTATGTAAATGAGTATCTGAATTGATATGTAAGTAAGAAAAATCAAGTATCTCCTGATAGACCTATTGGGCCACAGGAGCTATTGTTGATACATGTGTATATATACAAAGTAATGGACATTTCTACAACAAACTGTACAATATTGGGTTCACACTTTGTAGTGGTTAAAAGTTAATGACTCCAAACAGAGTTGGCACCATCCGTAGTCCGTCAAGCTGTGTGGCTAATGACGCTCCATATGCCTTCATGTTTTCCACCTCTGACTCCACTTTCTGGAGTCTTAGCTGTAAAAAATAGGACAAACATTACAGCAACTAGTCACTATGTATCATGGAACCACACACAATTGCTTTCTTTGACATGCCTAATAACATCATTACAGAAGTATTATTTTGGGTCACATGGCTGAGCTGTGCTGTGTGTACCCATTTGGACAGAGTACATTGACAACAAGTGAGAGGGGGAAAGATTGACGGTAGAACGACAGGTGGTTAAAGGTGAGCCAGCAAAGTTCAACAAGGGGAATTCTGGAAGCTGAGGATTGCATAGTTCTTGGGAAGTCTGAAATCTCTGTCTCTCATCTACTGTGTAAAGGACAATGTTCTAATCAACATAATAATGTCAAGATACCTTTCATGTGATATATAAATTGTCATGTTTTAAAGAATATCATGGCTGATTGTGTAAGCCTTACCTTATAAACTTGTGCCTGCTTCTGTAGTTGTAAGTGCCTCTCACGGGAAATCTCCAGGGATCTTCTCAACTCTCCAATCTCCATTTCTCTTACTGAGACATGGAAGAAATAAAATATAAATATGAATAGGGTCAAACTGATTTATTGACATATAAAGAGGAACATTACAAAATGTATTGTGCTACCAGATGAGTATTTGCTGTAGGTTATTGTATTTTGATGACGTAGGCTTATGAAGTAGACCATGGCAGCACTATCTGCCAACAAGGATCTAAAACAGACTTTTCTGTAACAAGACAGTTGAATTTTGCATGATATATCCATGACTTGTCTCAACAATGCCCACAGTTTGCCATCATGCAATTCTCATACAATGATTGTGGCTGGGCCCTAAAATATTGAAAAGCAGCTGGACAAAAGCACTGCTTTTATCTTCCTATGCTCTACCTTTGTTAGGATTTCAACCCTCCCCATTCTACCTTAGAGTGTAACCATATATCTATCTCTCCACCAGTACTGACATGTGTTGGCCTCTATGATGTCCATTTTGAGGTTCTCGGCACTGTTGGGTCCCTTGTAGCGCTCCAGGAAGGCAGTCCTGTCCAGACACTCCGGCTCCTCCACTGTCGCTGACAGGAGCCGGTCCTCCTCCTGCTTAGTCAGCTCTGCCTCCCGCTCAAACTCACCTGGTGGGAAATGTTGGGTACATTCATCTTAGAACAGGACTAACAGCTGTGATTCAAAGCTATCTAGTGAGGAGGGCCCTGCTGTACTCAGTGACAACAAGTTCAACTGAACAATAGTTCTAGAAAAATAATTTTGAACACCTCAATCTTGGCTTGATTACTGTGGTACTTGAGGGCAAGGCTATTTCTTGTTCTTTTCTGAGCTGGTATTAGGTACTTAGTAGTTGGTACATCTACTTGTAATTTTGTACATCATGCATATAGTCTGAACATTTTCTTGTGTCTTGGAGTGACATCCATAATAATATATTCCTTACCTGTAAGCATTTGCAGGTGCTGCTTGCCATACCTATGTTTCCTACCTGAAAGCATCTACAGGTGCTGTTTCCATAATGTGTTCCTTACCTGTAAGCATCTGCAGGTGCTGTTTGCCGTACATGTGTTCCTTCTTGTTGTGCAGAGAGCTGAAGTACTGGTTACATGTTTTACAGTACAGGTCACTGGGGTCGTCCTGTCAGAGAATAATGTTAGATACACAAACAAACAAACAAATGGATGTCAACCAGAATTTTCACCCAAAACAGTTTACATTGTTTAACCTTCAGCATGTTAGGAACCATATTTCCTGAGAATATGACAAAAAAATTTTAAATATAAACATAAATGACATCCTTGTCTATGAGTGACTTGAGTGCTTTTATTTCAAACATACTCCTACCTACCTCACCCTATGATAGATATAAATTTGAAAAAATGAAAAGAAGATCTTTTATCAGGCAGAAATATGCGAGTATCTTAATGTTCAACTCACCTCTAAGTCTAACACAATAGAGTCCACCTCTCCATCTATAGTTTCTACATCTGATGAGAACACGGGAATAAGTTAAGACCTTTGTTTGCACTTAAAGAGATTGTAGAGATGCATTTGTGTGAGGTATGAACATAGAAAAAGAATAAATAACACCTGTGATGAGCTATATCTTTTCATAGGACGCAGAAGCATCTGTTACTGATGTAAATGTACCATTTACCACTGAATTAAATGTACCATTACCAAAGAATTAATTCAATTATCCAACAGAAGTAATTCAATTATCCAACTCTAACAAAATGTACAGCTACAACATACATGGCTAGCAAGAATGTAAATGAAACCCTTGCACGAAGCCTCTGACATCATGTCATCCTGAACATTTTGAAGGATTGACGAAAGATTAGAAGCAAAGAAATTTCAAGAGTTTACGTAACCCTGTTATACGAGTAGGGGATACAGCAGGCATGTACGTAGGGATTAACACAAATCCATCAGACAACTGCTAATGGATAAGAGACTCCTCACATCCTACTCAAGATGTCCTGGCCAGATTAAGGGATTTAAAGCAGAATCCAAACACGAGGCAGACGGACAGTGATTAAGCCTTCTGAGACAGATACAGGGGATTATCTATGATGTAGAGCATAAATCCATCTCGTTATATAATCCACCTATGGCAACTTGGACAGGTCACTGTATAACTACGTCATTTGAACATACACTAGGGTTGAATGAGCACAATGTCAATGAACTGTTTCCAAGAGGAACCATTGTGCTTTACAATGTGGTCTGAATAAATCATAGAACAGTACTGACTAGGGCTGTGTATCTAATACTTGTGTTACATGTACCTGTAGAATTATCTAGCTGCAGGTACATGTACCTGTACATAGAATTGGTTTAGGTACACAGCTCTAACAATAACATCATTGAGTACAAAATGTTTGCAATATACTGTAGGAAGCAGCCCTAACTACTTAACACATGGACAACTCAAACTCTACTGATGGGCAGAATTCAGAGATTACTTTCATGGTATGAATCTCTGTATTTTATCCAGAAGTAGAGTTTGAATTGTCTGTGAGTACGGTTTACCTGGACATCTGACCTTCATTGACATACATACCTACTAAACATTTTAACTTCTTGGCTGCTTGACGTTTGAGCCATGACTGGTAGGCCTCTGACTGCTGGTAAGCCTTCAGTTCCTCGATGTATCTCCGCTTATCCTCCTCTGCTGCATCCAGGTATTTCTAGTCAAAGTGATCATGGCACAAGATGTTACATTGTTCAGAAGTCAAATCAAGAGAGCCCTCTAGCAATTTGCCTTAAAATTGCAAGATGATTTTCCCATGACGTGAAGAGCTGAACAGCATGTACCTGCTTGTCTTCCTGAGAAAGTGCTGACCACCTGCTGCCCAGAAGTCTGGTCATCTCTGTGAAGGGAAGCTCAGGATGTTCCACCTTCAACTTCTCTCTCTGCTCAGTCAAGTACAGTACATACCTGTGGGGAAGACATACATGCAAGCCCATAAAGCAGATATCTCTATTTCCCTATAGATATACATGTTGTATTTATATACATTGTACTCCTAGGTAAAAAAAAATATTCTTTGTGTATGAAAATTGTCCAGCAATTTGCCAAATATGTTGTTGCAAGGTGATCACGGCTCTAGTGGATGGGGTTGTAAGGCAAATAATTCCTGTTATACATTAATATAATTTTCTCACAGACATACCCAGTTACAGGTGCCTTTGGTGCATTGCTGTCTCTTGTTTCCTTTTTCCTCTTCTTCCCTTTGGGCCATCCACCTTTCCTCTTCTGCAAGAACATGAATCATAATCAGCAATACATCATACTGCAGGAAGATATACCAGTATATGAGCAATCGCTATGATGTCATGGTAGGCAAAAAGCGGGTGACGGATGGTTGATTTGCCCACTCACAGTTTGCATATGTCTTCAAATAATTTGCATGTATATGATGTTAACAAAAACAGTGATCACTCATATACCACTATCTCTTTTGTCACATTGTACATTTTGTCTTCTACCAATATTCTATAGCTAATGTCATAGCTTAGAGCCTACATATGTCGATTGTACTGCAGTAGTACCTAGTAGTCTTATACAACATTTTGCCAAGTGAATTGACTTGACTCTCACCTTTGGTTCCTCATTTGTTGGCTGGTTGATCTGGTCCTGCTGTCCATCGAGCAGCTGTGCGGAGGTACTGGACACGCCGCTGTCCTCAGATGACCCGCTGGTCAGCTGCTGGTGGATGTTCTCCACCTGGATGCTGAGGAGGGTGGTGGGCTGGGTACTGACGATGGACGTCTGGTTCAGCAGCTGGGACTGACCTGCAGCAGTACAGGAACTACAGTCACACTCCGGTATGTATCCATACAGCAGTAGACGACAGGAAAAATTGTATAGGGATATGATTTATAACACATACCAAGTACTGGTTGCAGTGTGGTACATGAGAGCACCTAGCACCCCCTTTCCACTAGAGGTTGGAACCACTGAGCAACCAAACATTTGACTGGTCACTCAGCTAATTTCATAGATCATCTTATTCCAATATTATAAAACCATTGAAAAGAATCAAATTCAATTTTGATCACTGTTGTTAACAGTAATATTAACTGACTTGTTGAGTGACTAGAAACCAACAACAAAACACAAACGAAATATGTTGTACTAGATAGTACCATCATCCAATGTAATGATATAAGGGAATTCGTAGTGAGAAGAGTCGTCTACGTAGTTCCAACTGGTCGGCAGGGCAAAAATAATTTATACGAGTTCGAACAACAAATTATAACAACGTATCTTTTATTTATATGTATCAAGGAATCCTCCTAAGGAACATCATTTTTACTTAGCGTGGATTACAATTTTCCAAAGACCTCTAGTATAATTCTACAATTCTCTCTCAAGGTTGCAGAGCAGGCGATCCAGCAGGTTGATGTCAGAGTTTGAAAACAACCCGAGCGGCGCCCCCCTCCCACCCTGTGTAAGTCATCACCAGTACTGACTTGTTGCCTGTAACTCAGCGGTACCATCCGCCCCGGCAGCGATGTGGTTCACAAACGACACGGGGACACAGATGAAGCCTCCGCCGTTGTGCTCCGCCTGTAGATCTACTGTTTTCTCCTGATCAGACGACGAGAAAGAAGCTAAAGTGAAGGTGCTAACTTCGTTCTCCATCTTCTCAACATCACAATGATCGCAGACAAACCTCAAGATATTTCTCACAAGTAAGGCTGTCGCATAAATTTCAAAATATATCTAAATACTTAACAGATTACATGTTTTTCATGCACGTATTTATATGCAATTTTCAGTATAGTTCATGAGACAAACTCAAATGAAGTAGCGGTTATTTGCGTTTTTCTGCGTGCAGCGGTTCCCAGGGGTTACTTGAGGTCATACTTGGGCAGTGGCAGAGTAGTGAGGCCATCTTGCGGGAAATGTAACTTTTGCACGAAAGGGTGATGCGCTCATTTGGTCCCTTCTCTGGAAGACGTGTGAAACATTGTAGATGAAGGACGAGTCAGGAGGAGAAGCGACGTTGAAGTCAAATCTTATCTTCTCTTAATCGACAGTATTGCCTGGGTATCATTTCATCAATAAGGATAATGACGAATGGGTGTTCGTCATATCAACCTGATAAGTCGCGGCGTGACTGCATGGTATAAATGAGCGGGAAAGAGGATCCGAAAGATGGGCGTGTGGAGAGAACTCGTGCCATATCGATATCGTTTTGTTCACACTGTCATATCAGATATTAAAGCTTGTGTATCCGCCCACGATGCTTTTAGGGTATCAATCTTAATTGGATATTAATCTAATCACAAATATTTATCGCTCACATTTCCAAACAGCACTTGCCTGCCGCAGAAATTCAGCAGTTATATGATGCATGTATATCCATGTACTTGTGCGTTTGAATGCTTTCATTCACTTATTCACTCACTCACTCACTCACTCACTCACTCACTCACACATTACGAATGGCACCTTAGGGGATGACCTGAACTGAACTGAACTGAAATCTAACTGAATTCTAGATTGAAAACCAACCCTGCACCGTACTCTTACATCATCGGACACTTCGAAGCGTGAAAGGTCGGATTCCTTCTGGAGTTTCAATTTACTTGACTATGATTTCATCCGCCCTTGGGATGTGCCATGTTCCACGTGGGGAATGGAAGGGAAGGGAGGGTGTGACAAGCCAATATTTTCTACGATATTCTCTATGTCTTGTTGCATATCGGACACCATGGAAGGCCTTGCCTCATGCATATGATATAATTTTTTTTGGGGGGGGGCGAGTTATCTGGTACCAACCTGGAAATTATGCACACACACACACACCCGTCACACCTGTGGACCATTCCCATAGGCGTGGGCGGTACGATTACACATAGAGCTTTAAAAGCAGAGCAGAGGGGCAGAATATTTCATTCAGAACCTCTACCAGAGAGGCACTGTTCATATCCTATTGTTATCTGCAGGTGAAACACCCATCTTCTATCACTGAACCAGCGGCAAATTACAAGTACAGGTTAGTAGTACTTTTCTCTTCCTTTCTCCTAATTCCAACATCTCAGGTTTGTGCTGCGAAATACCAGCCATAGATCACGACTATCCAACGGTTTTTAATTTTTTTCTGGAATATTATCTTAGCATACCTTTATGCCAGAATTCAGTGTCTTAGATAGGAGATAGTTTATGCCACAACGCGAACTCTATTTCACGCCCTGTAGTTGCGTAAGGCACGATAACTTTTCAAATATTTGCAGTTCGTTTGGCCTACAGTGAAATGTATCTTTGTCTTGGTGTTTTTAGTGTTTCCTATTTCATAAAAGTGTTTCATATTTTATAAATGGTTGTGATTATTACAGACTGAATATTATTCGGTACCAAGCACACTATTGAAAGGCGCAAGAGGTGAAGAAATCAAAGAAGTATGAATGTCATGTAAAATTGTTGGACATGTCCTTAGTACTGAAAGACATTCATTTTACTACTGTAAGGCGAAGTTATGTAGTAGCTTCATAGTTATTTTTCGCAGGATTCGATATTAATTTTCTGGCATGTAAATGTTCCCGTTACAGTGAAATGACCCGGAAGCTAGCTGTGCTGTTGGCGGTGCTGGTGATCACTGCCGCGGCGGCCGACCTCCAGTCTCCCTCCGGCTCCCGGCTGGACCGCCGCTCCTCCCCGTCCCAGGACGAGGCCGGCGGGCAGAAACGAGCCAACCTAGTGGCGCTGCTGGACGACGGTGACGATGACGTCGGTGAACGTCTCACGGCAGAGGAGGCCGAGGCCTTGATGAAGTACCTAAAGGAAGCGGTAGGCGGCCTTCGCCGACCGCTGCACAGTGGTCGTTTTTACCAGACAGGACCTCCTCGTGTGGGCGGGACGGAACGGGGACCAAGCGTGGACGGGGTGGAGCGGGAGAAGAAGGCACCAGAAGACCTGTCCTGGCTGGCTCAATCGATTCGCGCCAGCAGGCCACAGAAGGCCGGGTTTATCTTTCGCTACGGAAAGAGGGGTGGGGACGAGGGGGAAGAACGCTAATCTTACAGCTACAATCTTTGTTCAATGGCGGCAAGACGGGAGAAACAATAGGTACAAAATAGAGCTCTGGGTACAAAAATTGTTCACAACTCGGTCTCTGCTGAGATGGACAATAAATATTAACGAATAGCAAAATTAGATGATCAGAAATCGGAAAGTGATTACTTCGACAGAAATAATGTAGTTCGAGTCGAGAGGATTGAGATTTCCTCGCCCATATGGCTTTTCAGCCTAAAATGAAGCCAAACAAGCTTCTGTACTCAATAAATAACCAAAATGGTAACAACAATGCTTGATCATTGACTTTTGTTATGTTTGCTCGTGTTTGTGCCTGCCTGTGAGTGTGTGTGTGTGTGTGCGTGTGTTTTGGCTGTGTGTACGTGCATGTGTGTGTCTGTGAATGTGTGTGTGTGTGTGTGTGTGTGTGTGTGTGTGTGTGCGTGCTGTGAATGTGTGTGTCTGTGATGTGTGCATGTACGTTACGTGTGTTTGTACACTTCATTTCTTTTTTTTTTT